TTCTTGTGAAAGCAACGTCGCATAAATATCTTTCTATCAGAGCATTCACAATGCTTTGGGTTCAACCACAAAAAATTATATGACACATAAGAAATAGGCTTAGTTTAAAAAATTGTATTCTCCAATACAAACAAAAGTAGACTGGGTCTTGCTGATGTGGCAACCAGAAAAAGAGACCCGGTCTAATCTTAAGTCTATTTTAGACCCAAGTAGAGACCTAGTCTCTTTGCATTGGAGTGAATTTGATCAATTTTACATAGTTTTATCCATGTCATACAAGACTTGAGTTTATATACATGCCACATAGGCAAGACTAAACCTAATGCATTGTTGAGAGCATCTCCAATGCATTGGGTCTAGTCTTGCCTATGTGGCAAGTAAATAAACCCAAGTCTTAGATGACGTGGATAAAATTATGTAAAATTAATAAAATTCACTCAAATGCAAAGAGACTAGGTCTCTACTTGGGTCTAAAATGGAGTTAAGGGGAGACCGAGTCTCTTTTTCTGGCTGCCACATTAGCAGGACCCAATCTACTTTTATTTGCATTGGAGAATATATTTTTTTGGACTGGGTCTATTTCTTATGTGGCATGTAATTTTTTGAGATTGAACTCAAAGCATTGTAGATGCTCTGATACTCATTGTCAAAATAATTTATTGTTCATTTTTCAACTAAAAAAAAAAAGAGCCCACGTCAGCCGCTCAAATGCTAACCCTAGGGCCTTGACTACATGGTAGTAAAATAACATTAGCCTAAAAATCATTTGTAAACACTCGTCCATTTAATCCAAAATCAACACCAAGCACAAAAACTAATGACAATTTCTTTAGTCAACCACATAAAAATCAACTAAATAATATTATATTTAGATTATGTATAGTTTTATTACATTTTACTTTTAATTTATTAATGAGGATAAATATAATGATTTAGGATTTATATTATATATGATATAAATGTATACTCCATGAATATTATAATCATTATTATATACGCTAGTCGTTGGTTAAGTCCGCTCAGCTAACACGCTATTGTGTTGGTTGTTCATTCATCTACGTCCTCAGCTAATGCACTATTAGCGCCTATCAATTTCCGCAAAAAATCTAAAAATATAAACAAATAGAACAAACAACAAAAATCTCCTAAAAACAACAAGAATACGCGAATGACATTATCCATATCTTTCGAGCTTTGGTTTGTTTTGTTAGCCGGCCAATTCAAAATCACGATATATCTAAAGCGTGTATTATGAAAGCACGTTTGTAGAAGGAGTTATAAAATATATATTTACATCGTCTCTTTTTCCTTTTGTTCTTTTATTTTGTGCATTTCAGATCAGATTGTTCACTTCTACTTGTCCGGCTGTGAAGAGAACGTGCACGCAGGACATGAAGATTTTTAATTAAATGTCACAGCCTTTGAGTCGTTGAAATAAAAGCGCATGTTGTACCGTGAAAAAGCGTGGTTTAAGGTGCGAAATGGACATCTTTTTTTCATCTCACTTTGCGGTGTTTGGTTGTATCGGCTTCCATGTCTTATTATTTGTTCGTTGTCTGTTATAGAGAAAAGGTCTCCAATAATAATAATAATAATAATAATAATAATAATAATAATAATTTAGGCAATATAAATCTATATACTCGTCAATTAATACCGATTTAACGGGAACAGTTACCAAAATAAAGCTAATCCACCTCCACCTTTCACGCTAATTCATCATTACCTCTCTCACGAACAAACTAGTAAATCTTTCTTCTGAACTCTCGCAAAAGAGCTTCCTCCTTCAATCGGAATTTATTCTAACCAGAAAGCTAGCTTGGGCCTGATCCCGCAAATTAAATTACGTCAGATATCTTCTTTGAGCAAATTTAGAGGATGCTTGGATACAAAATTTATCTAAAAAATCTAAATATTTTTAACTCAACCACTTTTTTTACCTCAACCCAACTATCATTAATATTATTAATATAATTAAATAATATCAACTAATTATTCTTACACATCACATCAACCTTAATTCACTATTCATCTACTTACATAATTTTAACTAACTATCATTTCAAATCATCTCTCTCATACTTTTATATCAAATCAACTTTAATTATTTTATTTTAAATATTATTTTAAAATACCCACTAACAACTAATCATACCACTTTTTTTCAAAATTAACCATACCACCTTTTTCATTGACCCTTTCCTCAACTTGTTTAATTAGTGCCTAATCAAAGTCCTGCCGTAAGTTGCTAAGGGCATGCTCAGTGTAGATGACGGATCACGGATAACGTTCGGGTTGGGGAGTGGGAAGGTGGTGGAGGGCCGGAGGAGGAGGGGGAGCTGCCGTGGAGGTGTTGCAGGAAAATCAATGTTTTGGTTCGATTTTTTTAGGGTTTTTGGATTCTGTAACATTGAAATCTACAGATCAATCTGTACATTGAAATTAGTTTATGATCAGTGTATGTATAGTATATGTACATATACAGAGATATGTACAATTGTTTTACATCTTAGTTTATGTTTGGTATATTAGTTTATGTACAAGTTAGTTTCTAAATGGATGTTTGTTTTTTCTGTTTTCAATGTTTATCATAGTTTATGTTTGATAAATTATAAGATTTTTTTGTATATGTATTGTTTATATTAAGTATACAAACAAAATTGACAAACATA